CCACCCTCCCCCCCCCCCCCCCCCTTTATTTTATTGAGAGACCGATCGACTTAACTGGAGAAAGGAAGCAATTCCTGCTTGGGAGTATGTTGTCATAACACGGATAAAAGTGTTCCCTTTTTAGCTCGATTCCCGTTCCGTGTTTTTTCTTTTTTTTTTTTTTTTTTTTTGGTTGTTGTTGTTGTTTTGTTTTCTTCTCTTTTGTTATTTTCCCCTCTCCCCTCTGTATATTTTGTCCTGGAAGTGCTTGCAATCCTTCTCGCTGTACCTGAACCAATAAACTTGCCATTGTCAACCCTAACCCGTGGTGCTGGTGTTGGGGCGGGGTGGGGGAGGGCGGCTCCGGGGCGGAGCGGAGCGGCGGAGAAGCCGGGGCGGGAGGAGAGGAGGTTGGCCTTACCCAACCGGGAACCATGGCGGCGGCCGCTTACGAGCTGCTGGTGCTGGGCGGTGGGTCCGGAGGACTGGCCGGGGCCCGCCGGGCAGCGGAGCTGGGGGCCCGAGTCGCGTTGGTGGAGCCACGTCGCTTCGGTGGCACCTGCGTGAGTCCCGGGGGGGCACCCACGGGTGGGAGAGTGGGGGACGCCCGGTTCCCCCGGAGCTGGCCTCGGTTCCCACCGGGGCTGGTGTCCTACGGTACAGGGAAGCTGGAGGGTGGGAATCGCCATTTCGGTCGCGGAGGAGCGTTGTGCCTTGTCACGCTGAGCTGCGTGGGAGGGGGTAGGGTCCGATTTCCCCACTCCCCGGGGTTCTTTTTTTGGCCGTTTTCAGGGCAATAAAGGGATGCTGTCAGGTCCCGGGTCTGCAGCACAGCAGCTAGCTCGGTCACTGCGGTAAGGCAGTAAAGCAGAACTAGCAGGCAGGGTGAGACGGTAGAAAGCAGAAAAAACAAACTTGTTCCTGAAACAAGCCAGGGACAGGCTCTGCTCTTAGGCTTTAAGTGCATTCCCCTGAAAGAGTTGCTGTGCTAGGACCAGAAGTGCAGGAAAGGGGTGGCAAACACCTTTCTCCTAGTAAATTTTTTTTAAATTATAGATAGGAAAGAAACCCTTGTATATGAAAACCGTGTACCTTCCGTGTTCTCTTTCAAGGAAGTGAAGGAAAACGGGCAAACTGCAAGACCTTAAGGCACCAAAGGCGGTTACAGCCCTCTTTTGCCAGAAACCCAGGCTCCTCCCTTTATGTTCTCACACAAAGAGCTGGTACCGGCCTGATGTGGGATGCTCTCCAGAGCCTCGCCTTTGAAAAACTAAGCCTTAACGCTGAGACTTGCTCTTATTTCCCCCCCCAGGTTAATGTTGGGTGCGTGCCAAAGAAGGTAAGGACGCTTTCGCCACCGGCTCCAGCGGCACCTCGGCTGTGGGTTGGGTCTGTTGTGGGTGTCTGCCGAATTGCGGGGAGGTGCTGGCGTGGGTCGCGGGGAGGAAGCAAGGGCTTGGAGCATATTGAGCCATCGAGATGCTGTGAAAGCGCTCAGACCCGTGTCCTGCGGGCTGCTCCGGGCAGAGGCGAGGCATTGGGAAGCATGGCAGGGGTTATCCCAAAAATCAAACCGGTCTTCCCGAGCCGACATGCAGTTTTTGCGGGCAGGTGATGTGGAACACGGCGGTCCACGCGGAGTTCATCCACGATCACGCCGACTACGGCTTTGAAACACCCAGTGTCAAGTTCAACTGGAGGTAAGTACGGAAAGAGCCGGTTGGGAACGAGCGTCTCCCAGTGTGTTCCCCGTCAGTGCCGCGGCCCCGTGGCTTGTTGTCCACCCCAAAGGGGTCCCTGCCCGCTTTGAGGCTTCCCATGGATGGATGCTGAGCCGGTTACGCGGCCGGGATTCCCGCTGCATTTTGGAAAGGAAACATGGCAAACTGGCAGTGGGAAAAGACTCTGGAAAAGACGGACGCGGGGAAGGCAGGCACAAAAACCTTGCATGGGTGGGAAAGGCTACTGCCTGATGGGTAACTCGGGGCCATTTTATTTTGTGGCATGGGTGCCTTGTACCGAAGGGATTGAATTGTTTTTTGCTGAGCTCTGTAGGTTCATTCGCTTGTGGTGACAGTAAGCCCTGCTGTGTTCCAGAACAATTAAAGAGAAGCGTGATGCTTACGTGATGCGCCTGAATGAGATCTATGAGAATAATGTAAAGAAGGTGAGGATGCGTTTATCCTGCGAACCGAGCAGGGAAGCAGGCTCTGCTGGATTTTTGGCCTTTTTTCCAGCCTTAACGGGTGTCCACTTCTCGAAGTGTGGGAGCCCTGTCTCCATTAGCTGGCTCTCGCACCTCCTCCTGCTGTTAATCACGTAACTGTTACTCCCCTAAGGCTCACATAGACATCATTCGGGGCTATGGCAAGTTCACCACTGATCCCGAGCCTACCATCGAAGTAAATGGGAAAAAGTATACGGCTCCTCACATCCTCATAGCCACGGGTGGGCGCCCGGCCGTCCCTCCCGACAGCGAAATTCCCGGTAAGCCTGACAAAATTCCCCGGGCTGCCTGGAGAGAGGTCCGCCAAAGCAAAATGGGTTTTGGGAGGCGGGAAGCGGGGGCTGATGAGGGGTGCAAAAGGGGTTTTGCTTTGCAGGTGCCAGCCTGGGGATGACCAGCGATGGCTTCTTCGACCTAGAGGAGCTGCCCAGGTAAAGCGGGGCTCACCCCCCCTCCAGCCGGCGCCACCGCCGGCTCGGCGTCCCTGCACACGGCTTCGTCGCTTCTCCGTAGGCGCAGCGTCATTGTCGGTGCTGGCTACATCGCGGTGGAAATTGTGGGGATCCTTTCCACGCTGGGCTCCAAGTCATCCCTGCTGATCCGCCAGGACAAGGTAATGCCACCGGCTGTCCCCAGCCACGCTTCCCGCCCGGCGGCCGCATCCCAATCTGCCTGGGTTTTCTAGCCATCAGCTCCCGTGAGCTGGTAAAGGAGGGTCCGAGTCGGCGCGGGCTCAGGAGGGTGGAAATGGGGATGCAGAGGATGGTGGCGTTAGACTGTTCGGTGTAAGGAGGGGCTGGGGGGGGGGGCAGATGGGGTGAGAAGAAGAGCGTAGGTGTGCTGCTAGGAGGATTTCGGCAGCACTGACCCGCACACCCAGCATTTCTGCAGTCGTGCGTGCCGCTGCACCCATTTCCTTGAGCTTTATTTCAAGTCGCTACTTGAAAAAAGAAAAAACAAATATTAAAGGAAAAACAAACAGAGGAGAACTTTATCGTTAACCAGAAGCACCCCAAACTTCTCTGGGCCCACGTGGGGCATGTGTGCAGGGAAATGCTGGTGGAGGGGTCTGCCAGGCGGTGTCTTCGCCTGCGGACCCTCATCTGATGGGGCTGGTGGGTCCCTGCCCAGGTCCTGAGGACTTTTGATTCCATGATCAGCTCAAACTGCACCCAGGAGCTGGAGAACGCTGGGGTGGACGTCTGGAAGCACACGCAGGTATGGGCGCGCAGAGCAGCCCGGTAGCTTGTCCTATCCCTCCTGAGGAGGCAGGGCTGGGGGAAAGCTGGCATTTTGGGCACCGCTCGCCAAGCCACGGCTTTGGCGGCATCCCTGGTCCTGCGGTACGGCCGCCGTCACCTGACGCAAGGCAAAAGCCATCGGCGCCTTCTCCCCCGGCGGCTCCTGTTGTTCCCTGCAGGTCAAAACGGTCACCAAGTCTTCTTGCGGGCTACTGGATGTGACGGTGACCTCCTCGGTGCCTGGCCGCAAGCCGACGGAGGGAGTGATCCGGGACGTGGACTGCCTGCTTTGGGCCGTGGGGCGGGAGCCCAACACCGAGGACCTGTGCCTGGACCGAGTGGTGAGATGGCAGCACATCCCTTCCGTGCTGATGCGAGGATGCCCGCGGTTCTCCGGGGGTGCCATGGATCTCCGGAGCCTGCCACAGGATGGTGTTCCCACCATGCCCTGCCCCGAGGTGGGAATATGATGGCCACCGGCACGGGTCCCCCGTGGGCATCGCTTGTCCCGTCCCTCCTGGGGCACGTGCCAAGGCGGCTGCCGTTTCCCGTGGCAGGGCGTGCAGGTGGACGCCAAGGGCCATGTGGTGGTGGACGAGTACCAGAACACCACCAGGAGAGGGGTCTACGCCGTCGGGGACGTCTGCGGGAGAGCCCTCCTCACCCCAGGTACCGCAGCCGTGCCCCCCCTCCCCTCCACAGCCCCTCGGTGCCGCGCCGTGCCGCGGCTCAGGTTCCCCATCCCTCCCCGCAGTGGCCATCGCAGCTGGCAGAAAGCTGGCCCACAGGCTCTTTGAGGGCAAGCCTGAGTCCCGGCTGGACTACCATGACATCCCCACCGTCGTCTTCAGCCACCCGCCCATCGGCACCGTGGGCCTCACCGAAGGTGGGGACAGAGGGGACGCGGCGGGGGCGAAGAGGTTGGGGACATTGTGGCTCAGAGCTGTTGCTTTGATGGTTGAGGAAACGCTCTGATCTCTGGCGAGGGGTCCGAGCCTTGCAAAATGCGCTTTGACTCCCTCTTTATAAATGCCTCGTGTGTACAGTGTGTCCCCTTGACCTACGTGCCGTGTCTTCTGCTGCAGACGAAGCCGTGGCCACGCACGGGAGGGAGAACGTGAAGATCTACAGCACGTCCTTCACCCCCTTGTACCACGCCATCACCCAGAGGAAGGTGAAGTGCGTCATGAAGCTGGTGTGTGCTGGCAAGGAGGAGAAGGTGCGTGGAGGGGACCTGGGGGGGGACAGCTGGGTGCTGCCGTGGCGGGGACCACGGCTGGCTGTCCTCTTGTCCCCGCGGGGTCGGCTCTGACCCGCTCAGAACGGGTCTCCGGCTGGGATTCAGCTCCCCCAGCACCAAGCCCAGTGTTCACTCTGGATTTTGCCGGTGCTGGGTCCCACCCGGGCTCTCGCTTCTTCCCCAAAGGTGGTGGGATTGCACATGCAAGGGCTGGGCTGCGACGAAATACTGCAGGGCTTTGCCGTGGCCATCAAAATGGGGGCCACCAAGGCCGACCTGGACAACACCGTTGC